CTCGACCATCAGCCTGCCTGGGAGAAAGAAAACACATCTGCTGTGTTAGCATCCTCACGATTATTACACATCTTGGTGGCTGGAGCACAGAGGAGGGAGTCAGGAACTCTTGAGTTCCAAACCCTTCCTGCGCCACAGACTTTCTCTGTGGACTTGGGTAAATCCCGTCACCACAATTGACTTAACTTCTTCGTTTGCGATGTGAGCACGTTGTTTCCTTGGCTGGCCAAGGTTCACTTCTTTCCAAAGACAGGAATGACAACATGGCTAGTTTGGAGATGGCAAGTGAATACATAACGATGAGAGGAAGAATGATGTTGAAGTTAGGGCTTGGGAAACCTTGGTTCCGGCCCATGCTCTGGCACCGACTTCCTGTGTGACCTTGGGCAAGTCACTTAGTCTCTCAGGCTGTGTCTATGCTGCAGTTAAAATCCCTCTTCTGGCCCATGCCCGCTGATTCAGGCTGGGGGCTCTTTGACTGTGGCACAGATGTTCAGGGGCAAGCTAGAATCTGAGCTTGAGGACCCTGAGAGGTGGGAGGGTCCCAGAGCTTGGGCTGTTGCCTCTACACCGCAATTAAACAGCTCGTTAGCCAGAGCCCTTAGCCGAGTCAACCCACAGGCCAGCTGTGGATGTGTTACTGCAGGACAGTCATCTTCACAGCTAACCCGCAGCGGGGCTCAAAGCCTGGATCTACAGACTCAAGCACATGGGGCTCATGCTACAGGGCTAAAAATACCTTTGTGGACGTTCTGGCTCCGGCGGGACTTCTAGGCTCTGAAGTCAGGTGTGTGTGTGTTTGGGGGGCGGGGGTTCAAACCCCAAGGCATCAGGAGCCCGGTAGTGCGAGTCCTGGATGCCCAACTCAGTAGAGCTGGGTTCTGAGACTCGGGGTCGTGGGGCTATTAGCAGTGTAGGTGTCGCCTCTGTGCCTTGCTACCCCGGTGATAAAATGGAGATAGTGGCCCTGCCTTACCTCCGGGTGCTGTGCGGATAAATATATTAAAAGGCTGTGAGGCTGTCAGAGTAGGGAGGTGAATGGTTAACGGGTAAGCTTCACCCTTAACAGGTGAGGCTTACCGGTTGTGGTTAATCAGAGGCGATTGCAGCTGCAGCCCTGCGGAGTCTGCCATAGGTTGGGGACCACTCCAGCCCAGCTGAAGCAGCCCCCCTCTCATCCCTGTTTAATCAGTTAACCATCAAGTGTAACCGGTTAACTAATGAAATTGGACTTTACATTCCTACCTCGGAGTGTACGGTCTTGGGAGCCTGCTGGGATAGCGGGGCCTAAAAACTGACCCAAACTGTGGGCTCATCCACACACGTCACAATGAGCTCTCATGACAGGCGGTGACGGGTAAAGGCGTGAATGGCGGGCAGCAGAAGTCCAAACCAAAGGACCACAAGGGCTGTGTTAAGATCATGCCTGGTGACCAAGGGCAGTGAACCCAAATTGGTATTTTGGAAACTATGCTTAATGGGTAGACATAATGGAGTACTTTGGCCCCCGCTCCTTTTGGGATCCTTGAAGAGAAAAACTGTCTACTGAAGAGAGCCTCACCCACATGGCCACATCATCTGCTAGGACCTGGGATCCTCCTGGTCTTAGCCCTGAGACATGCCTTGCCCACACCAGGCCAGAGAGAGGAGCACAGGTGACATAGCCCCCTTTTCTGGCTTCAGGTGATCCCGGACAGCACCTGGGACGAAACACGATCAGACTTTCACAGCTGCAGCAGCAGCAAGATCTCCAGCTCCCTCTCAACTCTGCAGGACAATTACTACGGTCTCTGATCCCAGTCTAAGATACTAGCAAGACAAGGGTTTTTTTTTTTTTTCTCCCTTTAAAACTCTCTCCAGTTCACGGCAAAAGAAACAAGAGTTGCTGCTAAAACCAAAGCTTGAGTGAATACTTTACACTTTAAAGGCTTGAACTCTTGTTTTTGTCTTTTCTGTATGTTTAGTAAGAGGTTAACGGGATTCGCAATGCTGCGTTCACCGGGGTGCTAAGGAGGCTGACATCTCTGGAGAGCAAACCCTGAATCTTATTAAAGGGTGTTAATAATGGACAGTGATTAGGTTATGCTAGTACCTTAGGAATGTTTAGTCCATGTAAATTAATGCAAGAGGCAGTATAAGGCCTCTAGACAGAATGATACGATTTAGTGGTTTTACTTCAGGTTTCTCCACTCATGAGCAATGCAGTCACTTCATGACCCTGCTCTGGATTGTAGGAAACCATATACTACACAGCATCTTGAAAATAGACTAGAAAGGCTTTGCATTTTGTTATGCCACAATATTTTACGGAAGAACTATTTCTATAGTGCAGTGATTCTCAACCTTTTTTCCATGGAGGAACACCTAATATAATTTTTCATATCCCGAGGAACCCCAACCTATGAAAACGTTTGCTTGGCCAGAAAACGTTGACAGCAGGGAGCGCAATTCAATTACTGCTAAATTATTGTCAAGAAAATGTATTTGTAAAGAGCTGTTTTTTATTTTTATATATATATGTCAGCTTACATTGTAAGAAAAAAAATTATTTATTTATTCCACGATTTCTCGCAGAACCCCTGACAACGGTCTGTGGAATCCCAGCATTCTGCGGAACCCTGGTTGGGAATCACTGCTATAGTGATTTCAAGAATTTGAACACATTTTTTAACTCATGTTCTTTGTAGTCCTCCAAAGACCTGTGCCCTAATCCCAGGAGTCCAACTGTCCATCCCACAAGGGGAAGGAAAAAACATGAAATAAAATCGCTTAGAAATCTCAACCACATGATCTAAGACAGCAATATTTGCATGTGATAATGCTGTGATTTTAAGGTGTGATATCTTGTTGTCCACCAGAGTCAGGGAGATTATTCACAATTCCCCAGTGGTACAAAAGCCTTTCTTTTTTGTTCCGATGCTTCATGGGATAGCATCATAGAATATTAGGACTGGAAGGGACTGCGAGATGTCATCAAGTCCAGTCCCCTGCCCTCATGGCAGGACCAAATACTGTCTAGACCATCCCTGATAGACATTTTACTAACCTACTCTTAAATATCTCCACAGATGGAGATTCCACAACCTCCCTGGGCAATTTATTCCAGTGTTTAACCACCCTGACAGTTAGGAACTTTTTCCTAACGTCCAACCTAAACCTCCCTTGCTGCAGTTTAAGCCCATTGCTGCTTGTTCTATCCTCAGTGGATTACTGGATGTTAAACTAGCAGCTAGTCCAGGAAAGAGTTTTGCCTGTTCAGCACCTTCAGACAGCACATATTTGGAAGGAAGACTGAGAAAGAAATGTCCTTTGGTAGGCAAAGGTTGAACCTCTCTAGTCCAGCACCTTTGGGACCAGACTTGCCAAGCTAGAGAATTTGCCAGACCATGGGAGGTCAATACTGTCTAGCAGCATGACCAACACTTCCCCTGCTTACTGGGCTCTTAGAAGACATTTAGGGGTAAATTCGAGCTAAATAACAGGACAGAACACTGAGAGCCAGGATGGGTGGCTGTAAACAAACTTTATGGGACTGCAAGAGACTTGGCCAAGTCCATGCTAAGTGGACATCTGGCTACTAAAATCATGACAGACCACGGATGTTGCCAGACTAAAGAGTGCCGGGCTAGAGAGGTTCAACTAATAGTTTAAAAAAATGGGAGCTATCTGAAAACTGCTCAGAGGTTTAGAACCTGTCCTGGGGGAGATGAAGGAAAGGGCAGACTGCAAATGGGATTAAAGGAGCAAGATATGAGCAGTTCGTCTCCTGGCTGTCACACCGCCTGTCATGGCTCCTTCCCCACTTTGGCATGATAAATGCAGAAGTGGGGGCCAGCAAGTGTACCCCAAAGCCTTATCTACCAGGCTTTGGTATCAAACTCCCCCCAAAATCTTAAAAACCTAGATCTTGGGAATAAAACTTCCGCTGCCACCACCCAAATGTTGATAAAGAAATCAGGGGAAAGATCATTTGGGAAATCTTACCCCCAAAATAAAAATCAAGGCACACAATTAACCACTGCCAGGTTAATAAAAGAAAAGAAAGAACTTTTATTATTACAACAATATTCCTGTTGCAAACATAATGACTAGATAGGGAGGTAACAAAATATACTCATGGAGAAACTCCATGGGCCTAGAACTTAGTTACAAAGAAAAGCCAAAACATCTTTTAAACAGTGCCAGATCTCAGATCCCATACCCAATCCTTAAAACAATAAAACCTAACGAAACTGCCTAAACTTTACCCTACTTACAGAAAATGAAGAATGGTGTCTTGGAGAGAGAGAGAGACATGCTTGTCCCTCTCTGTAGCTGCAGAGAACTCCCCCAGAGAGACAAAAAAGGAGAAAGGAAAAAACCCAAATTCCTTTGTCCAGGTTGAAACTCCCTCCTACATTCCTACTGGTCACTCCACCTGGCTAGGTGTAGTTAACCCCTTAATCCCCAGGCTGCTGGCTAACCCTCATAATCATGACACCGTCTACCCTCTGTAGTACGAATATTGTCATTAATGGGTGTGTGCACGCACCACTGCCCTCTGCTCGATGGAACCAGAACCCCACAGGACTTCTACCGCTATCAGTGGAGAGAGATTCTCCTTCAGCTGAAATTTTCAGGGCACGTGTTTTCAAGGCAGGAGGACCCGAGTTCTGATCCTGACATCACCACAAAGTCCTGATCAGCTCAACCATGCATCAGGGTAGCAACTGCAAAGTACCTTGGTGCCCATGTGTTTGTAGGGACTTACATGCATGCGCCACCCTCCGAGCGACTGGAAAACGCCAGTGTTCTAAGCGTTAATTTCAGCGATGCAGAAAACCACGCCATTTTGTCATGGTGCTGCTGAAAACCCACCTCCTCAAGAGCCCTCCTGGGAGGTGCAGGTGCCCTACTTGCTCGAGATGGTGCTGGCAGGGGCACGCTGGGCGGATGCCAGCACTGAGTACTCTAACTGCCTGAAATGCCTGGGAAAACGTTAACCCGCAGCCATTACTTACTTGGATCCATCTCCACCAGGACCTTCCAGTCCTCCATCTTGTGGAGGTCCAGGGCATAGAGGTCGTTGAGGGTGAATTGGCGGTCCCCCACTTCGAACATCCCCCCGTAGACGTAGAGAATCCCATGCTTCATGGCCAACATAGCATTTGAACGTGGGCACGGCTCCACCTGCTGGCCGGAGGCTTCCTCCTCAGCCTCTTCTTCGTCTTCGTCTTCGTCTTCAGACCTCTCCGGCTCCACTTCCGGGGCAGAGACCACCTGCTTGATCGTCATGACAGTCCCATCCTCTGCGACCACCTCTTTGATGACCTCCATGGGGCCCTGAGGGGGCTGGCTCTCCGCCTCAACTTCCCCAGCGCCCTCTCCCTCAGCCTTTTTGCCTCGCCTGCGTTTCTTCTTCTCAGATTTAGGTCCCTAATGATAGGAAGCGCATTAGAAAAGCACAGAATACTGAGTGGGACTGTGAGTCTGAGCAACGTTGATGCAGAGCAGGGCTCACGCGCCGTACCATGCTGAACATCATGAAATCAGATGCAATCTGGGGATTCGGTTACGGTTTCTTTAGTGCCACAACTCTCAGAAGATGGGCACACACGCCAGCAAAGCAGCGAGTGCTCTACTAGCTGTGACACGAACAACAGGAAAATCTGTAGTGTGTGACTGTTGCTTCTTTACTGCTGAAATGCGTGCTGGGGATAGAGAAACACAGCACTCTCTCACTCACACATACACCCAGAAATCTCTCTAGCTTGGTGGATGGTGCAAACAAGACAATGACCCACCCTGTGGGGAAATCAAATCGGGGTTCCTGAGTGCACCGTTCCAGCACATTAACGGGAAAACTCCGGGTTTTCAGAGTGCCGTACCAAAAGGGCTGGAAAACAGCTTGCCAAAAAATCAGAAGCAAATTTGCTCATAAAGCTTTGCCCATTGGTATGTGACGGATTTTCCCTCTTTGAGAGCAGATGAAGAACCTCTGAGGCAAGGAGGGAAAAAGTTGAGTCCGGTTATCCGCCCCTCATTTGCTCCTTGGAAACAGTGAGTGATGCCAAAACTCTGAAGGGACGCATTCTGCCTCACCCCTCACCAGCCAGCTAAAGGCAATGTTTTCACTGCACAGAGCCATGTTTTTATATCAGGTTCACTACCTCACTGCAAAACCCGCCACTGCGTTTTTTACCTCAGTGTAACTAGTCCAACTCAACCCTCTCTCTCGATGTCCAGGGGTTCCCCTTGGGTAGCTACACTGAGATAAAAGCTACAGGGCTTTGCTTGCACAGGGATTTTATAATCCGATAGCTACAGCCTTGCACCCTTCCGATACCTACCAGCACCTGCCCCTTCTGTGAGAAGACCTGCGGCTCCAGAATCGGGCTGGTCAGCCATCAACAGATCCATAAATAGGAGGTTGACAGGAAGACGTCCTACTCATTATCGAGTGACCGCCGGGAGACTTTGTAAAGCCGTTGTGACTTGTAGCTACTCTCTGATCTAGGGATCTAAAATCCCGTTTAATCGGTTAACCAGTTAAACATAGTCTTTAACTGGTTAACCGATTAAAGGGGAAGCGGGTGGGTTGGAGCAGCCTTTGTCTGCAGTGAGGGGGCTGCTCCAGACCAGAGAGAGGAGGGGCTCTGCCCGGCCCGTGACGGGCTGCAGGGGAGGGACTTCTCCCAGGTACCAGTTAATCGTTACCTGGTAAGCATCATTCATTAAGGGTGATGCTTACCGGGTAATCGGTTACCCATTCACATCCCTACTTGGAACAGAATTTGATTTAGAGACATAACCAAATCATAAGTCAAAGAAGCTTCCGATTCCACGGCTAAGATAACATGGGAAGTCTTATTGTGTATATTTTCCCAGTACCTTTAGTTGTCCAGGAAACCAGCGGTTCTTTCCCATATCATAGAAATAAATATCACCAAAGAAGTCTCCTTCGATGCTCTCTTCCTCCTCTTCATCATGCACGCCGCCAAACAGAAGTGACCGGTTATTGGGGGCTATTGCCACAGAGAAGCCAGACCTGGGAGTGGGTTTCACACCCGATGGGCTAAGCCGATTCCATACCCACTTGTCTGATAATGGACAAAGAGAAGTAAAAGAGAAAAGTCAATTCAATTCACCCAGGAACGGCTGAAAGTTCTAGTCACTTCAAAACTTCAAAGGCCTGTCAATTCCAATAGCAATATCAGCAAATATCTCACTGACCCATTTTGGTTGCCTTAGATATTTCACCACGTCTTCAACAATTTCTTTAAATAATGTTAATCATAATGATTTGCATTTGCCAGTTTAATCACCCAGCTAATCCATATCTTCTATTTTCCACTGAAATCATTTTCCATTGAAACCCTTAGAAAGCAACTGTATGTGCAAATAAAAATTGTACATCTGCTCCTTAAAACAGAAAGCCATCTCCAAGATATGCTTTTCAGAGTGGGGCAGGGGGAAGAAGAGAGTCATAAAAAGCGTGTGTGTATTTAAGGAAGGAAGGAGCTCATCTCTGTTCATAGCACGCTAATACTGGCAAGGTAGGACTTAATTCCTCTCTTTATTTGCAAGCCTAGAACGTCATAATGCAATATAATGCCGTAACGGCCGCAATGCAAACTTTACCTGAAGAATACAGAGCAAATAGAGTATTGACCCTGGAATACAAAAAAAGTTGTCCCTAGGGATGATTGGGAAGCATGCCTCATTATGGTACCTTTCTCGGGTCTCTTCTAGTAGAGAGAATGGCCTATGTGTCAGGTGCTCTAGTCCTCCAGGAAAGAATACCAGGCTCACACCACAGAGTCTTTAGGTTACACTTAAAAGCAGTCCCTTCCCTGTGGAAAATGGCCTGCGTTCCAAGCCCTCCCCCTCCAAACCTAACCCAAATTTTTAGGCGCTCCATTCCAGCAACGAAACGCAAGACACCGATAGGCAGTAACCAACATGGAATTGAAGGGGCATTGGTAGCAACGCAAAACAGAATCTTCTAAGATCCCAGCAGGAGTCCCTTAAGAGTAACGTGCCTAATCTGCCTGTTTGGGGAGAGAATCAACTTTATATTGGGACTGGCAAGGTGATAGTTGCGGGAAGGGGCATGGGGAAGAATTAAGCTTTGATCTGTGAAACTGACCCTAGCCAGCTTACTCATTTGGTTATAAACACAGTGGCTAGTACACAATAAATAGGAAAGATCCTAGTAACTAGAGCTGGGGAAACACCTACGAGATACATGCGTCGTTCACCTTGTATGCACAGGATACAGATCCTGTATTGACGAGAAAGCAAGCGAGGGCCCGGTTTTCAGAGCAGTCTATATACTGTACCGGGGAGCGGGCATTCCAAAACGGCGTTTGGAAAATAAATCTAAAACATTTCGTTTTCACCATAACACAATTTTTCCGAGGCTCCAAGCTGCCCTGGGCCCTCCCGCAGCCTGTGAGGTGGGAAGCCTACAAGCACACGCGTGCCAGGTCTAACCTGTAACACGGCCCTTACCCACCCCTTAGCTTGCTTGGGCCCAGGCCTCCCTATGGGCAGAGAATGCCAACGGGGAAAAACATCACATGGGTTTTACTGAAAGCACAAAGGAAGACTCAGATGAGCAAACCCAGCAGCATCAGGGCAAAACCCAGCAGCATCAGGGTGAGAGCTACCCATTTACACGCTGGTCCCCAAGAGCTTGATAGGGGGCTTCACGAAAGGCGGGCTTGAGCCACCGCAATGAACCTCCCTACTAGGGATGAAGCAGCACTTGCCTGCAATGAGGGTTACGTTGAACTGGTTAGCCAATTCAATGGGATTTTACACCCCTACTCCCTGCCCCACTGTGATGAGGGTTGGATCCAGAGCCAGCTTTGGAGGCGGATATTGGTCCCTGGGGCAAACTCTCCAAGGGGCCGAGTCAGAACAAAATCTGGACACCACGAAACACGGGAGAACTTTTGGGTTTCGGTCCTCAGCCCAGAGCTGAGCTTGGTCATTCAAACCCAGTCCTCTTCCGAACACACGGAGCTGGCTGGCTGGCTTGCCCTGCGTACACTTCACGGCTAGCACTGACCACAGCCCCCAAATCTAGATCAGCACTTGGCTTGGGCTGTGCACTGAGGGACGGCAGCTGACACGCCCGACTGCATTCCCCTTGCACAGAAACCAGCAGCACCAGCCTCCATCCACCCTTCCTCTGCTCCCATCCCAGCTCTGCTACGTCACAGTTCCCCTATTTTGGTGCTGTCCATCCAGGGAAGGTTTTAAAGGAGCAAATCTTGGCATGATCCTATGGACCGGCAAGTCCCTGAACACCAATAACCCCGTATGGTTCCACTGCTTGGAGAGGGGCAGCACTAGAGGGAACCTCCTTCCCCATGGGTCACAGAACCTATCCCTGCAAAGATCCCCAAGCCACTGGCATGCGCAGTAGGTGGCTTAGGGAAGGGCAGGCATGCCATACAAGCAATCCCTTACGGACGGGGGGGCACGGCTCTTGTGAAGCCTAGTGCGGCTCTGGGCCACAGTAACGGATGCTGTGTGGCCATGGGTGCCGAAGGAGTCCCTCTCCAGCCTCCTCTGCAAACCTGCCTGTCTGCCTGCCTGTGTGGTGCAAGCGTTGTCCCTAAACATCCCCCCGTGTCACCCAAGGAGGAGCAGCGATTCATCGGTCGCCTCTTCCCCTTCGGCTGGTTGTTTTCTTTCTAAAGCAAAAATCCCGGCACCAAGTCTCTACCTGCTCCTGGAAAGAAGGGACCTTGGAATCAACTTGTCCCGGAGCCGCTTCGCATCCCAACAGACCGGGGCACTGTTCATAGTTCTACCGAGTTTTCCTTTTTACGGTGGTGATGATGTTTCCGAGGAGGGAGAGCGGGCTGGGAGAGCAAAGCGCGCCAGCCTCAACCACCCCACCCCCCTGTTCCCTCTGCCAGCCAGTGCA